ATCCACTGTACGTCTAAGTCAAACTTTAGTGTCATCCTTTACTCTCCTTTTTCTCAAAAACCACGGCTACATCATAATCAAATCTGTCCATTCCAACCTAAAAACATATCAAGATCTAAGTCTCCATCTACCACAGTTATCCCTCAGCCAACACCATCATCACCTTTTGTCTGGGTATGTGGAATGGGCTCCTAACTAGTCTTGTTCCTGCTCTTGCCATTTTAATTTGTCATTCAGCAACATGGTAATCCTATTAGCACAGAAAGTCAAGTCATAGCACTTCTCTGTTCAAACTCCACCAATAACTGTGCATCTCACATGGGAAGAAATAAGTCCTTTTAAAAAAAATAGGAAAAAAGCAAGCTCATACTTCTATACATTTTCTCTGATTCCATCTTCAACTACCTCACCATGAAAGATGTCAAGCACATACCTATGTCAGTGATGTGGGACTTTGTTTTTTAATAAACGGTCATTTTCTGAGAGAAAAGTCTTGCCATCTTTGCTTTCCCTCCTTTGCAACTATTACTTCAAAACAGCCGGCATGTATTACTTTTGTGAAATGTTTTTCTTTCTCTCTTTGTAGAGTATAAGTATATAAACTATTGCCTCCTCTATTCACTTAGGATCTCAAACAATGTGAGGCATACAGTCACTATTAATGACTAATTCAATGTTTGAATGATTGATGTGTCATTTTAAACACATTTCTTCTATTTTTTTAATGAATGAAAACATCTTTTAATTAGCATGTCAAGATTTTTGTATGTCTTCCAAACTAGATCATTAATATATTAAACACTGATCTGGTATATACTGTGAGCTGTCTCAAAGATCATTTCGTGTAATTTTCAAGCTAAAAATGTTATTTAGGTTGCCTTACTCTACAACACTTATTATTGACTCATAACATAACTGGAGTCTTTTAATAAAGTCAAATTAACTACAGAGCTTCATTCTTTTATGTAGAATGGTGCCTTGAGGGGTTTGCTAAACTTCTTACTTTAAAAAATCATGTGCAAAACACAGGGCTAAGCTAAGTTCTTGTTTCTACAGTAAGATTTAAGCCAGATGAATCTGTGTACCCACCAATATCAAATACAATATAATATTCTTTACATGGTCTTGGAGTCATTGTCTCTTCTTTCTTGTGTACATTTTACTTGTTTTCAAGTCAATATAACAATTGCAAACCTCTGGCTATGTCATTAAACTGCTCTGGAATCTCTACGTTTCTTGTTTTATTATTAAAAATAAAATTCAGTCTTATGAAGCAGTTGTTTGAACCTCTGGATTCTATGTGCCACCTGTTTTTTTCTACATTAAATTTTCATGTTTTCCACTTCACATTCCAATAAGATTGTCATTTTTACTACCCTCTCTTACAGTTTTTACCTCTTTATAATGTGAATCTTGAAGATATCAAGAGAGTTCATATTCAGATTGGAGCAGCTGACTGATAAGCAGAGAAAGTGATTTTATTATTGTTTTGGATACAAGCTCTCAATTCTATTGTACAAACTTGAGATTATGTTTGCCCATTTTTTTACAGCCACATTGCTCTCCAGGATTATAATGCACTTCTAGTCAGCTACACCCTACAGGTCTTCTTTATATCATCTTGTAAAGCTGAGTTTTGTGTGTTCTCAGAATGGTGTATGAACTAAATTAAACCCTGAGCATCTGTCCTCTTAAAATCTTCTTTATGAAGATTAACTATGTATACCATCCCTTCTTCACTTTGGTTATTTATAGAACAACAGAGAGAGAAAACAATTAGACATGAGGAAAGGAAGGAAAAACTATCTTTCCTCACACAGGAATTATGGTCAGCTTCTTTCTCCTTCCAAAGTACTACCTAGACACCAGGCAAAGGAAGAGTCAGGTTCCTGGCCCAAAAAAATTCCCTCAGTGGCTCCCAACCACCTTCAGTGAGACCTCAGATCTGACATAATTTGTTTTCCACCCCTTGTCCCTGGGCTTTTTTTTTTTAACCACTTATGCCTCATGGCAAAAGTTTGGATTTTGTACATGCATCTTTGCCCAGTTAAGTGTGTCTTTTCCCAGCTTCTCTTCCTGGAAAGGAAAAGCTTAATTTTCAAGACTCAGCCCTGCTCTTGCTTCTCTAATATTTTTTCCTTGGAATCCTGGATCAGAATATCCAAGGTTGGGAAAACCCTGACATATTGCTCATTACTTGAATTGCTGGAATTGCTTATGTACTTTTTTCCAAAAAAAAAAAAAAAAAAAAAAAAAACTAGACTTTGCGCTTTTTAAGTCAACGAGGTGACTTTTATCTCAACAGACATAGGTGCTAAGCATGGCAGCAAGTGGTTTGTATCCATTTATCTTGCCAATAAAATGATTCCTCATTTTCTTTTTCTTTCTTGCTCACCCAAGAAGAGTCCATGCTAATACAGAAGAGCATGGTGGAATTCAATGTAAGCAAAAAATTGCATTTGAACCTTTTAATCTTTCAGGTAATAGAGTGAAAACCCAGACTTAGCTACCCAAAGAAAACATAGTGAGGGTGACTATAGCTAAAAGCTATCAGTGAGATGGTTTTCATTTACCTCACTATAAAATGAAAAATAAAAAACACATATTATCTGTCCTAAATGCAAATTCTCTAACAGAATTTCTTCATTACAATATCACAGTAAACTATGCACTAGGTTTTATGGGCTGCAGTGACAGGAAATATTAAGAATATGGGTTGATTTTCTTTTTCTTTCTTTTTTGTGACAAATGCCTGCCACTGAGACATTGGGCATTGTCCTTCGACAATAACAAGAAATGACTTTACCAGACTGTGGAATTCATGAATCTATGAAGACTTCTACAGACTTCTAATGCCTTTTACTGAGATGATTCAGGGACTTCTAATTAAGACTCCATCATCATTGAGACCCAAATTCTCTTAAACTAATGAAATGTTCTTCTTATTACAACCTTCACTTTATGTTTCTGTGATCACAGAATTGACCCAATGAAACTCTCCAATTTACTGCCAGCATTTTCATCCCCTGGGTTGTGCCAGCAGCATGTGTGTGTGCATGTTTTCAGAAATCTAAAAGTAAATATCTCATTAGAAATATCATCGTACTTTATACTTGTTCTTCTTTTACAGCACCAAGGGAATTGTCAATTGATTAATCTATATGTGATTTTTAATGACTTGGATCCTTGCTTCTCTAAAGTAGAAAACTGTTTTAAAGTCTAAGATAGCTGAGACTTCATTACTTGTTGCATAATAGAATTTATTTAAGTAGTAGAGCCCTACTGGGGCGCGCTAGCATGAGTGATTGCCATTACATGCAATTTACCACAACAAATGGTTTCATTGCCTTTAGTACCAGTAGCATCTTCAAATGTGATTGACACTTAACACTAATGAAAATTAGGGCATATTTCACACTTTGTGATTTTTCTATATTCCTTCAGTGGCAACATGACTTCTCAGCAAGACTTCTTTTGAATTTGTAAATTATGAAATATACATGTGGCAGACAATTCATGAATGTGTTCTCTAAGCAGCTAGATAGGTGCTTCAAAATGCCTACTATGCTACACCCCACATTTCAATATAATTCCTTCTCATTTTAAATATGCTGAAGCAACTGATAAGGGTTTATCCTAAGGCAGGACTTGGTCTCCAGCTAAGAACACCATAGCACTACATCAGAAGGTATGCTGTGTGTTATATGCATTGTTTGCAAGCCTTGTGATGAAACAAAAAAATAGTTTACCCTCTTTTCTAAAGATAAAATTGTATCTTTAAGTCAAGTAACCTGCTCAGGGTCACTACTATTAAATAACTGGGTCAAGATTCAAATGCAGGTCCATCTGACACCAAAAAAGCCTGAGCTTTTATTCTGAAATGATCATATTTAAGTATAGGTGTTAGCTGTTGCTATATTCTCTTTCTGCTCAAGAAGGACAGATGCTGTGACCAAGCTTTTTCTGTCTAGTCAGTGTCAAAAGGTATACTGAAAGTATTCAAGCTCCCAAGGTTACAAGTCATGGGGCATTCAGTTAGTGATTTTCCTTTCTTTGACTTCTGGCAGAGTCTTTCTCTAGAGTCAGGGCCAGTTGTTTTCCTCTAATGATGAGGGCAGGTAGCCTAAGGCTGTCCCGGGAACAGCAAGTTTATTTATTATCTTCTTCTTTGTTCTGTGGATAATATCCAGTATGCATCTCTGATTGGCCCCATGAGGAGTCATATGCTAATTTTTCTACTCTGCAAGGAAAAACATTGTACAAAAGCCAGCTTTTCCCTAATTTATAAATGCAATTTTAAACAATTATAAAAGAACATATATATTTATTAAAACTCATTTCTATGACAAAAATTTCATCGAACAGATTTTATCACAATCAAAAATACTGAACAGTAGAAGCAAATGTCAAAGATGTTCAACACCTCCATAAGTTGAAACCTGTAAAAATATGTAATTCAGTGAATGCTTTTAAAAAACAATTAAAATATTTAGAGTAAAACCAATTGTCAAGCACCATCCAGAACTAGACACTGAAGGTAAGATCTCATTAGTTCAATGAAATAAAACACTTCCAGAAAGTTTATATTATTCTTGAAGAAAGAATAGACAGACAAAATCTTTGTTTTTAAAAGGAGGACTCCCCAGGGAAGAGCATACTAATTGGTTTTCCAATACCAAATGGTCAGTCCTGAATACTCACACAAGTAACATTATACAGACTAAGCAATTTGTGCATATATGTATACCACAACAATTATTGAAAAAAAGTGGATTTTTATTAATTTTAAAGAGAGCAAGAAAGTGTATATGAGAAGGTCTGAAGGGAGAAAAGAAAAAGAGAAAGTGGTGTGATTATAAAATCTCAATAAATAAAAGAAATATTTTTAGTAGGGCTTCTTTTCATTAAGACAGAGAAGCACAGATCACCACTGGGTCTTGACTTTGGCATTGCCTCTATTTCTTAATTTCTTACTTTCTACCTTTGATCCTCTTTACCAGGTTTTTAGCCAACACCACTTTCAGAGGTCTCAGTGGTTCCATCAAAGTAAAAGGTTCCACCATCATCAGCTCAGAAAACAACCTTTTCATCTGGAACTTACAGCATGACCCTATGGGAAAGCCAATGTGGACTCGCCTGGGCAGCTGGCAAGGGGGGAGGATTGTCATGGACTCTGGGATATGGCCAGAGCAGGCCCAGAGGCACAAAACTCACTTCCAGCACCAGAACAAGCTACACTTGAGAGTGGTGACCTTGATTGAACACCCATTTGTTTTCACGAGAGAAGTAGACGATGAAGGCTTATGCCCTGCTGGACAACTCTGTCTAGACCCTATGACTAATGACTCTTCCATATTGGACAGCCTGTTTAGCAGCCTCCACAGCAGTAATGATACAGTGCCAATCAAATTCAAGAAGTGTTGCTACGGGTATTGCATTGATCTGCTGGAACAGCTGGCAGAAGATATGAACTTTGACTTTGACCTTTATATTGTAGGGGATGGAAAGTATGGAGCTTGGAAAAATGGTCACTGGACTGGTCTGGTTGGTGATCTCCTGAATGGAACTGCCAATATGGCAGTCACATCTTTCAGCATCAATACGGCACGAAGCCAGGTGATAGATTTTACCAGCCCTTTCTTCTCAACCAGTTTAGGCATCTTAGTAAGAACTCGAGACACAGCAGCTCCAATTGGAGCCTTCATGTGGCCACTCCACTGGACCATGTGGCTGGGGATTTTCGTGGCTCTGCATATCACTGCCATCTTTCTCACTCTGTACGAATGGAAGAGCCCCTTTGGTATGACTCCTAAGGGACGAAACAGAAACAAAGTCTTCTCCTTCTCTTCAGCCTTGAATGTCTGCTATGCCCTTTTGTTTGGCAGAACAGCGGCCATTAAACCTCCAAAATGCTGGACTGGAAGGTTTCTTATGAATCTTTGGGCCATTTTCTGTATGTTTTGCCTCTCTACATACACAGCGAACTTGGCTGCTGTCATGGTAGGAGAGAAGATCTATGAAGAGCTTTCTGGGATTCATGACCCGAAGGTAATTGTTCCCTTTACTCCAGCTTTCTTTGTTGCCATGATAACTTTATATGTTTTGTCAAATTCTGTGGTATACATGTATTCTTCATGTAATTAAAAGTATTCTGTAAGTATAAGGCCAAAGAGATGGTTCAGTTAGTAAAGTAAGTAAACCACAAGATGAGGACATGCATTTTTGTCCATAGAACTCACACAAAATGCTTGAAGGGAAGGGTTAACATATTTTGGCCAGTGAGTTCAGGGCCACTGAAAGACCTGTATATAAAAACAAGTTTGATGACATCCTGAGGGGTAAGGAAACTTCAAGGTCTACTGCTTGCATCCACATGAACACACACAGAGAGGAATGCACCTACATACATGTGTTCACATGTATGTGAACACGCAAATATTCTCTGTGCCAACAGCATAAACCAGTTAAACAGATTTTACCAAGTTAAGCTAAATGGGTTATGGTTATTGTTGTCATTATTGTTATCTTTTACTATTTTCTCAAGTAAAACAAAGCTGGAGGTATTGTAGGTATTTGTTTTAAAGATAATATTGCTTATACAAGCATCTATTACTGTAGCTTCTCCTGGTTGTTTAATCATTTGACAGAATGGCTATTGAAGAATGGTTTTGCAGTACAATAATAGTTCATAGAATTTTACCCACAGAAATTCTAACAACTTGATTAATTACTTTGGGAGAAAATTAATAGAAATAATCAGAGAAAGTAAATTTTAAATAGCAAAGCATTTGTTTTATTATTAAAATACTCAAAGCAATGGAAAGAGCTGACATGTTATTTAAGCACACAGCTGTGAAGAACCTCACAGAACCCAAAGGAGTTCTGAACTGGGGTTCCAAGACTAGCTAAGGGCAGGGTGTACTTACAGAGTAAGGAAAACTGTATAGTCAGCCACCTAGGGTTAAAAAAGGGTCCTTACAGTAACTTTGGAATGTCCAAGATAGAAATTTTTATCTGTCTTATATGTCTCAGATATCCAACTGTAGGGGTTGAAGGAAGCAGAGAGGAAGACACATGCAAATCATGATGTGATGATTAACTATTTTTAGCTTGGCTGGGTGTAGAATGACCTAGAGTGTGTGTCTCCAGAAAGGTCTAACTGAGGAGGGAGGGAGGATGAACCCTGAATGTTGGAAACACCATCCCATGGTCTGGGGACCAAAAGTGAATAAAAATAGAGGCCAGAAGAGCATTAAGAATTACATCTCTTTGTTTCCTGACTGTAGGCATAAGACCAACTCATGCCCCAAACTCATGCCATTATGGCTTCTTTGCAACTATCTGTATCCCCTCAACATAAAATGTAATAGTCCCTTTTTCCATTAATTTGTGATTTTTGTCAGCTATTGGGCTACAGCAATAAGAAAAACAATTAATACACCAGTAACACTCAGGCAAGGACAGCCATATCAATGATTTCTATGAATTAAAACAGGATCTCTTTTAATGTGTGACTAAGTAGAAACTCAAGTCTACCCAATGTGAATAAGGCCAGGGAACCCATTGGAATCAGGCCTGGGGGTAGATTGAAGCCCTTCTAGAGATACAGATAATAAGCAGAGTGCACCCAAATGTACAGGAAATAGCTGGTACAGATAGAAACACTAAGAACACACCATGATCACAGCAAGTGGAGCAAAGTCTTTCAAATGGCGCAGTCATCAGCATGCCTTTCCTGATACCTCCCGCCACTCAGAGTTCAAGGTATTGATTCATATGTTACACACTTCTATTGAATACTACCAATTCATTCCATAAAACATCAGGAAATCTATCAACTGTTCTCAGCAACTGGTGGAGTGGCCCAGAGGACTGGTGGCATCTACAGAGTATTCTCATGGTCAGTTGTGAAAAGAACATAAAGTCTACACAACAACCAAAAGAACATGTACCTATATGCAGCTACGAACTTCCTGATGTGTAAAATGAGCCACAAAAATGGACTCAGATAAAAAAGAAAAATGCTTCACTAACAAGGAGAGGAATTGTGTTGCTTCTTTATGCACACGCAGGACTCGATGTTATGAGCTGGAATTCAGCCAAATGCAAATAAGTTCTTTAGAAGAAAACAAATGCAGCACCTCAAAGAGAGACTCTGGTGACACGCTAACATTCACACTTTAGAGCAGTGCTAGTATCTGTCATTTATCACTTCCGCAGTAGTCCTGTAGATCTCTTGAAGATTCGGTCTTGATAAACTTACGTAGATTTTGTGCAAAAATCCTGGCAATGTGACTTCGCAGTTAAAAACTGGAAATGGAAGCCATTCATCCCACTGTACTACAAAAACAATCAAATCTGTGCCTGTTGTGCAGATTGGAGATGTAAAAGGCTGAGAACAATTCTAACTACGGTTTCATTCATCAGAAGTAGGTTGGCCATAATTAAGTTATGGGCATCATGCATGAGAAACCTGAAGCAGTGGCTATTCAGGAGATTAAGAAGAAAAAATGACAGGTAAACCATACACAGAAGAATGACTTTTAAGAAAAAAGACATAGTTGTGGAGCTGAGGAGATGGTTCAGTCAGTAAAGTGCTTGCTGTGCAAGCATGAGGACCTGGGTTTCAGTCCTCAGTACAACATAAAAAGCCAGGAAGTCCCTCTTCGCATTACTGTATAACCCACTTGGACACTAAACTGTCATGGGCTACATCTGTGCAGGGGTTCTAGGATATTTCCATGCATGGTACTTGGTTGGAGTATGAGTCTCTGAGAAGACCCCTGTGTTCAAAGTTCTGGTTCTGTTGCTCTCCTTGTGGAGTTCCTGTCCTCTCCAGGAACTTCTTACATAAGATTTCCCACTTCTTACATAAGATTCCATGCACACTGCCCAACAGTTGGCCATAAGTCAGCCTGCTCTTTGATCACCTCCCCCTGAGGGGGGAGTAGCCTTACCAGGCCACAGTAGAGGATAATGCAGCCACCCCTGATGAGATCTGATAGACTAAGATCAGAAGGAAGGAGAGGAGAACCTCCCCAATCAGTGGACTTGGGGAGAGGCATGTGTGAAGAAGGGAGAGGGAGGGTGGGATCGGTAGGGAGGGGAGGAGGTAGGGGCTTATGGGGGATACAAAGTGAATAAAGTGTAATTAATAAAAATAAAAATAAACACTGGGTTCCAAGAGAATCCTAGGAGCAAGCCAAAAGAAAAAAAAAAAAAAAAAGGCAGTCATGGGAATGTCTTTTGGCCAGACTGGCAAAAGGAGACACAATGATCCATAGGGTTTTTTCGCCAGCTAGTCTAACTGAATAAGTGAGCCCAAGGTTCACTGAGCAACACTGTCTCAAAAAATAAAAAAATAAAAAATAAATAAAAGAAACAGAGTTAAAGGAACTAAAAGAAAAACAGGAAAATACAATCAGACAGGTGAAAGAAGTAAACAAAACAACTCAAGACCTGAAAATAGAACTAGAAAAATTAAAGAAAACACAAATGGAGGAAATAATGGAGAGGAAGAATTTAGGGAAGAAAACAAGAACTACAGAAATAGCATAACCAACAGACTACAAGAGATGGAAAAAAGAATCTCAGGTGTAGAAGATACAATGGAAGAAATCGATGTATCTGTCAAAGAAAATGTTAAATCCAAAACATTCCTGACACAGAACATCCAAGAAATCCAAGACAATATGAAAAGACAAAACCTAAGAATAATAGGTATAGAGGAAAAAGAAGACTCCCTTCTCCAAGGCCCAGAAAATATTTTTAACAAAATCATTGAAGAAAATTTCCCCAAGTTAAAGGAGATGCCAGTAAGAATACATGAGGCCTACAGAACACCCAACAAATTTGAACAGAAAAGAAAATTCTCCCACCACATAATAATCAAAACAGTAAGTATACAAGGAAAAAATACTAAGAGCTGCAAGGGAAAAAGGCCAAGTAATATATAATGGCAAACCCATTAGAATCACACCTGACTTTTCAACAGAGACTATGAAAGCCAGAAGGGCCTGGACAGATATCATGCAGACCCTAAGAGAACACAGATGTCAGCCCAGGCTACTGTACCCTGCAAAACTCTCAGTCCTCATAGACAGAGAAAAAAAGATATTCACTGACAAAAACAAATTTCAACAATACCTACACACAAATCCAGCATTACAAAAGAAACTGGAAGGGAAAATACAACCCAAGAAAATTAGCTTCTGTCAAGAAAACACAGGAAATAATTAACCTTACTACAGCAAAACAAAAAGCAACCAAGCACACAACCTTATGAACACAGCCAACATCAAAGTCAAAGGATCTAACAGCCACTGGTCATTAATCTCTCTCAACATCAATGGACTCAACTCTCCAGTAAAAAGACACAGATTAGCAGAATGGATACGTAAACAAAACCCAGCAATCTGTTGCATACAAGAAACACACCTAAGGCACAAAGATAGACATTACCTGAGGGTAAAAGGTTGGAAGATGACTTTCCAAGCAAGTGGACCCAAGAAACAAGCAGGAGTAGCCATTCTAATATCTGATAAAATAGACTTTCAACCAAAATTAATAAAAAGAGATGGGGAAGGACACTTCATAAACATCAAGGGAAAATTTCACCAGAAAGACATCACAATCTTGAACATCTATGTCCCAAATACAAGAGCACCCACATTTATAAAAGAAACATTGATAAAATTTAAACCACATATAGATCCCCACACATTAATAGTGGGAGACTTCAACACCCCACTCTCAACAAAGGACAAGTCAACAAAACAGAAATTAAACAAAGAAACAGTACTCTGACAGAGGTCATGAATCAACTGGACCTCACAGACATTTACAGAACTTTACACCCAAACACAAAAGAATTTACCTTCTTCTCAGCACCTCATGGAATCTTCTCCAAAATAGACCATATAGTTGGTCACAAAGCAAGCCTCAACACATACAAGAAGATTGAAATAATCTCTTGTATCTTGTCTGATCACCATGGAATAAAGCTGGACCTCAACAACAACAGAAATAGCAAAAAGCCTACACACACA